CTCCAGCCTAGACCTTCTGAAAATGAACCTGTAGGGGAGGGGCCGGCACTCTGTGTCAACACCTCCAGTGATGCTGATGTGCCCGCCAGTCTGAGAGCCCCAGTTTTAGTGCTTGGCCTATTTTTCCATCTTGGGCATGGCTTCCTCAGATCCCCGGGGCTGCTCTGAAATCTCTGTTTAAGAGTCCTACACCTACCTAGAGGGATGATGATTACTAAGACGGCTGCTCAATGTTGAGCATGTCCCTGATGCTAGATGCCAGGGATAATTCTAGACATCTAGGTATATTAACTTGTTTAATGCTCACTACAACCTATGAGGTCCCCCTCCTCTAGGTGAGGAAATTGAGGCACAAATTGACTGGCTGAATTGCCCAGGGTCCCCCAGGTAATAAATGCTGGTCTGAACCCAAGGCAGTCTGACTCCGGTGTGCACTCCCAACCACACGCTGGCCTCCTCAGAAGTTTCTGCCACCGCCCACCCAGGTTCCATTCCCTCTCCTTTCCGAGCAGACGCCTCTCTGTATCAGTCTGCTAGGGCTGCCCCAATGAAGTGCCACAGACTGGGTGTCTTAACAGAAACTTATTTTCCCATTTTGGTGGGGATGCTGGAAGTCCAACCGAGGTCATGGTGTCAACGGGGTTGTACCTAAAGCCTCTCTCCTTGGTTTGCAGGTCGCTGCCTTCTTACCACATCCTCGCATGGTCTGTCCTCTGTGTGCATGTCCCTGGTGATTGTGTGTGTGTCCAGTGTTTTGGTTTAAAGTTACATTTTTTTACTTTTCAATTACAGTTAACATTTAATAGTATATTACTTTCAGGCATACAGCATAGTGGTTGGACATTTATGTACTTTATGAAGTGATTCATTCCCCAGTAAATCTAGTACCCACTTGGTACCACACATAGTTATTACAGTACTTTTGACTATATTTTCTATGCTGTACTTAACATTCCCAAGATCTATTGTAACTATCAACTTGTACTTCTTAATCTCTTCATCTTTTTCAGCCCCCTTCCATCTGGCCACCATCAGTTTGTTCTCTGTGTCTATGAGTCTGTTTCTATTTTATTTGTTCTTTTATTTTATTTTGCAGATTCCACATGTACGTTAAATCATACGGTGTTTATCTCTCTCTGTCTGACTTGTTTCACTTAATGTAATACCATCAAGCTCCATTCATGTTGTTGCTAATGTAAGATTGAGTTATATTTTATGCTTGAGTAATATTCCATTGTTCACCTGTACCACATCTTTATTCTATTGTCTACCAATAGATACTTCAGTTGCTTTCATATCTTGGCCGTTGTATATGAATTGTCCTTCTTTGCCTCTTGTTATAGCCCTTGTTTTGTCTGGTGTAAGTATTATTATTCCAGCTTTTTAAAAAATTCTATTAACATGAAATATATTTTTCCATTTCCTTACTTTCAGTTTATGTGTATCTTTCTACCTGAAGTAGGTCTCTTGTGGCCAGCATATGTATGGGTCTTGTTTTTTTCTCCATTAAACCACTCTGTCTTTTGAATGGATCATTTGATCCATTTAAATTTGAAGTAATTATTGAACCCGGCCAGTGTGGCTCAGTGGATTGAGTGTCATCCCATGGACTGAGAGGTTCCGGTTCCATTCCCGGCCAGGGCACATGCCCAGGTTGCGGGCTTGATCCCCAGTGGGGGATGTGCAAGAAGCAGCCAATCGATGTTTCTTTCTCACATGGATGTTTCTGTCTCTCTCTTCCTCTCTGTAAAATGATCAATAAAAAAAAAAAATAAAAATATATATATTTATATTTATAGATATATATTTTATTATTCATATTTTTATTTTTCTTCTTAAAGAAGTCCCTTTATCATTCCATATAATACTGGTTTGGTGTTGATGAACTCTAGCTTTTCCTTTTCTGGGAAGCTCTTTATCTCTCCTGCAATTCTAAATGATAGCATTGCTGGGTAGATTAATCTTTGTTATAGGTTCTTGCTTTTCATCACTTTCAATATGTCTTGCCAGCACCTTCTGGCCTGAAAAGTTTCTGTTGAGAAATCACCTGATAGTTTTATGGGATCTCTCTTATAGGTAACTGTCTTTCTGTTGCTGTTTTTAAGATTCTTTGTCTTTAACCTTTTACATTTTAATTATGATGTGTCTTGGTGTGGGCCTCTTTGGGTTCATCTTGTTCGAAACACTCTGCACTTCCTGGACTTGTATGTCTATTTCCTTTGCCAGGTTAGGGAAGTTTTCTGTCATTATTTCTTCATATAGTTTCTCAACCCTTTGTTCTCTCTCTTCTCCTTCTGGTACCCCCATGATGTGAATGTTGTTTCACTTGATACTGTCCCAGAGGCCCTTTAAACTATACTCATTTTTTAATTAAAAAATGTTTTTGCTCTTCTGATTGGGTGTTTTCTGCTACCTTGTCTTCCAAATCACTGATTTGATTCTTTGCTTCATCCAATCTGCTGTTTATTCCTTCTAGTGTGTTCTTCATTTTAGTTGTTGTATTATTCATTTCTGACTTGTTCTTTTTTATGGTTTCTGTGTCATTTTTTATGCTTACTATCTCTGTTGAAGTTCTCACTGAGTTCCTTGAGCATCAAGTGTTTTGAACTCTATATTTGGTAGAGGTTTGGGCTGGTGTGGGAGTTAAGTGGGGCAAGGTATCAGGGAATCACCAGGATAGGTGAGAGCAGTGTTAGTGAGGTTAATAGAGACTCAGATTTGATGTCTATCTGTTCCTGCTGGCTGTGTGGTGGGGAGAACTCAACAAAGGAGCAATGGCACCTGCCACCACTGGAGACAGCTGCCCCTCCAGCCCTTGTCCTGAAGCCAAACAATTCAGTTCTTCCCCATATGTTTCTGGTGCTTTTTGATCCTCTGTCTCTTCACCGGAGCTTGGGTAGGGTTTTGTGAGTGAGGAAATCTGTGCTTGGACCCTTTAAGTGAATGCCTGGGACTCCAGAAGCCCTCCATCTCACAGGGACAGAATCCCCACTGATTTTTACAGCCAGTTATTGTGGGGACTCCTCTTCCCAACATTGGTGCTCCATGGTGGGGAACCCTGTGTAGGGCTGGAATCTCTTGCTTCTTGGTGGGGACCTCCCCTGCTGAGGTGTCCCTCCTCATTCTTTACCACCACACGTGGGTATGGGACCAGCTGGTTTCATGTCTCTGTCCCACTTACTAGTCTTGATGTTGCTTCTTCTTTATATCCTTAGTTACAGGAGTTCTGCTGAGCTAATCTTCAGGTGGTTTTTATGGGTGGTGGTTCTATAATTTAGTTGTAATTTTGATGTGGTCGTGGGAGGAGGTGAGCACAGTGTTTACTTATGCTACTAGCTTGACTTGATGTCACCCCAAATCTCCTATTTTTGTAATGACCCCAGTCAGATTGGATTAGTGCCCATCCTAATCACCTTATTGACATAATAACCTCTATAAAGGCCCTATCTCCAAATGTGGTCTAATTAGGAGGTACTGGAGTTAGCACACGTGAACTTGGGAAGTACACAGTGCACCCCATCACACTCCCATTCCTCACCATCCATGCCTTGGGCTGACAGGACCTATTTTATGTCTCCGTACCCTTGGGGATTCTCTCACTCCCATCCATCCGAACACCCCATCCTCTATGTTTCTTCCTGGGTCACATGCTGTATCATTCCCAGGGACAACAGCCATGACCTAACGAGGTCAGCCCCTACATATGCTGCAGATGTATGGCTTTAATTTGTCAACAGTTGCCCTGCATAACCAGGATGTGAGAGGTCTGCACAATATCTGTAATACAGCCTTGCTGGGTTTCATTAGAGCACACTCAGAGGTAGCGATGTCTCTCAAAGGACTGTTTGTGGACAGCTTGCTCGTCAATTACCTGGGCTGCTCCTGGAACTTGTGAGTGTCCTGTAGCATGGGGCTGACACTCCAAGGGTGGGTTCTTAGAGGTGCACATCTAAGAAGCCCCTCTTGGCCTCCTACATCTGATGATCCTTATGTAAATAAAGGTATCAGCTGCCTGGCTGGTGTAGCTCAGTGGTTGAGCGTCAACCCATGCACCAAGAGGTCACTGGTTCGATTCCTGGTCTGGATATATGCCCAGGTTGTGGGCCTGATCCCCAGTTGTGGGGCATGCAGGAGGTGGCCAATTGATGTTCTCTCTCAACAATGTTTCTATACCTCTCTCCCCCTTTCTCTCTCTCTAAAATCAATAAAGAAAAATTTAAAAATTTTTTTAAAAAATGCTATCAACCTTTAAGTCTGTGGAGTTGGACACATTTGGCCTGTGTTTCAGCTCCTCTATTGCTAGGTGTGCGGTGTTGGAACAGGTTAGCATCCCTGAGATGGTTTCTTAATTTGTGATGTGGAATTAATCTTGGTGACTAATGGAATTAATCTGGCAACTTCTAGGATAGCTGTAAGGATTAAATTAGACCATAGAAATAAAACACTGTACACCACCTGCTTATTGCAAAAGGAGATGTGTGCGGTCTGTTAACATCATCTGCCCACGAGTGGACAACAGTTTCTTTTACATCCTAAGACCAAAGCACCAACCCTGTTAACGTTGCACTTAGTGCATAACTATGTGTCTGGACCACTTAGGACGTCCTGTAAGAACCAGGGTATGTGCAGATGGAAACACACAGAGCAGTTGATAAACAGGACCAGGGACCGTGGGAGGAGAGGAATGCGGGCCAGGGAAGGACAGTGGGCCAGAAAGAAAAGAAACCTCCGAGAACAGTTGCCAGCCTGCGGCAGTGAGGAAGTGAAAGCCAGGCCTCAGTTCTGTCCAGGTGTGCAGCTTGGACGCTGGAAGAACATGGCTGTCCTGGGCTGGAGTGCCCCCGATGTCTTCCGACTCCCTGACTGAGTTGCCTTTCCTACTAAAATCACTGACTTTTCTGCGATCTCTGGACTTCCTGAGGATCTGTGGGCATCCCAGTGGGTTGGACTCACGTTGGAAATGACATGTCATGGACCTTCCTGTGTTCTGTCATTCACAGAGGAGCTGAAGGCCCCCTTGGAGGAGTACGTCCACAAGCGCTACCCAGGGCTGGTGAAGGTCGTGCGCAATCAGAAAAGAGAGGGCCTGATCCGCGCGCGCATCGAGGGCTGGAAGGCGGCCACCGGCCAGGTCACTGGCTTCTTTGATGCCCACGTGGAATTCACCGCTGGCTGGTAGGTCACCAGCTGAACCCTAGGGGCACTCAGGACCTGCAGTCAGAGTCTGGGAGGTGGGATGTTTTCCCTGATTTCTTTGGAGCCACTGGAAGAATGGGGGAGGGCGTGGTTGGAACAGAGAGTGAGACCACAGTCAGGGATAAAACTGGGAGCAGGGAGAAATCTGACTGTTGTCTGCTCAGTCTCAGTCACCGTCAGATGTCCTTGGGAGACCTCATTCTGGGGCAGCCACTGTCTTAGCTTTCACCCAGCTGTCCCGCAGTAATAATCTCCAGCCTCCCGACTGACGACGACAGAGATTTCTGTCGTGCCCACGTGGCCGTCCGCTGTGGGCTGTCTGCGGCTCTGCTCCGCGTGTCCTCCGCGTTCACGCCTGTCGAGGACATACCCTGTTCGTGGCCCAGAGTAAAGAACCACAGATGAATCTTGCAGTGACTTTGAAAGGTTCTGCTCTGTTGTGACGTCGTCCCTTCTGTTCACGTTCCCCTGGTCAAAGCAAGTCGTATGTCCAAGCTAAACATTGATTAGGGTTGAGGGAGAGAGTACACCCCTCTGCAGGGAGACACTGTGGGCTGCTGGTAGTAGGCAGGGTGTCCCCTGGAAGGGGAGCCGATTGCTGGGAACAGTTGTACCTTCTGTCACAGGCTGGAGATCAAACTCCTCCCTTCAGAAGCACTATTTGAACAGGCCTTCTGTCCCCACGCTCAGTACACTGCCTGGATGCTTCTCAGTGCGGGACACCAGGCCACCCTGGGAAGCGTGGTCCGTTCAGGGAGGCCGTGGGCTTCCAGGTTAGGGCTGAAGCCAGACCATCTGGGTTAGAAACCTGGTTCTGCCACCAGCTGGCTCTGTGCCCAGGGCAAGCGACTTAACCTCCCTGGAGCTCATTTCCTCCTTTGTACAACGATGACCCTCGTGTCTGTTCAGTGGGATTGGTGTGAGATATAAATTAGCCAGCACCTGACGTGTTTCGAATGGTGCCTAGCTCGTAGTGAAGAATCAATGAATATGAGCTCTCCTTAGCTCATTAGGAAAATGTGTTTAAAGATTCGCAAAGGCAGCCTGTAGTCAGTGACTTGAATGAGGTGGAGAAGATGGCCTAAGAGTTGAAAGGGAGGAGAGAGCCTTCCTACTGGGGGAATTAGGGAAGGCTTCTTGGAAGAGGTGGCACGCGCTCTAGTAAGCCTCCGTAGGTGGCCAGATCCCTGCCAGGGGCAAAGGGCATTCCCGGAGGAGGGCAGCACTAGTGAAGGCTTGGAGGGGGCAGAGCGCTGAAGCCTATCTCGAAGCTGTGGCGAGTCCGTCCCATTTGGCTTCAGCCTAGATGGTGTGTGCAGGAGTATTGGAGGCAGTAAATGGTCCAGCATATATTTTATTGCTCGCTTTAAATAGAAAGATGAAGTGAGCCAACAGGTAATTCAATAGCTGCAAATGAAAAGAGATGGGATGTAGGCCGAGCGCTCTCATTATTCTTCCAAATAATGCAGAGGAATGGGATTTTCACTTGACACTTTTCCAGAGCCTGCGCTCTGTGCTAAGCGGGGAGATTAATGTCCTGGCGTGTGAGAGCCATCTTCTTCCCGAGCGCGGGGAGCAACCATCCCTTCCTGCATCTGCTGCGAACACACACGCTGGCAGGGTGTCTTACCATCTGCTTTCTCCCAAGCCAGCAGGGCTACACCTAGAACCCCGAGCCAGGTCTCTCTGCCGATCTCCTGGTGCAGGGCCCGAGGGGCAGGCTCCTGGGAGGCAGGATTCTGCCTGCGTTTGCATTTAATTCATCCGGCCAGCCATTGCTAACCAATTCAATTAGATCCCTTTTAAGAAATCAATTAAATAATCAATTAAAACAACTGAAATAGTCACACACACAAAGGAGCTCGTGAAATGTTTATTAGAACCAGACCATCAAGGGCGGGAGTGGCCTATTTTGAGAAAGGGAATTCAGCTCCCTGGGAAAATACAAGAGGCAGCCACCAGCGCCCTGAGGGGAAGCTGAAAACTCTGTGTGAGGCTGCAGCGTCAGGCACACTGGAGTCCCAGGGCCTTGCTTTGGCCTGCACTGTGGGGATAAAAGGCAGGCAGGCACTTTCTGAATTCTCCCCCCAGGCTTCTCCTGCAGGCTTCAGCACGGTGGCCTCCCAGCAGGCGGGGCCTGGGCTGCAGGCTCCCACTGGGACCGGCCACTGCCACTCGGGAGCCTCAGTGTCCATCGGGGTTCCAGCCCGCCAAAGCCTAACCTTTAGCTGTGTTGCTTCTGTTCATTTCCTGCCATCTCGGGGGTCTGTGCCCGTTGAGGGGTGAGCTACCTCAGGAGAGAGGTTTTATTTGTACTCTGTGTTTCAGGGCCGAGCCGGTACTGTCCCGGATCCAGGAGAACCGGAAGCGGGTAATCCTCCCATCCATCGACAACATCAAGCAGGACACCTTTGAGGTGCAGCGGTACGAGAACTCGGCCCACGGGTACAGCTGGGAGCTATGGTGCATGTACATCAGCCCCCCGAAAGACTGGTGGGACGCCGGAGACCCTTCTCTCCCCATCAGGTCTGTGGCAGGGAAGCTCTGGTGGCCTCTGGGTCCCAGATCCCAGAGGACAGAGGAGCCACGGGAGGGAGGCTGGGAGACTCCTGGGGATGGAGGCGCCGTGTGCAAATGGCTGCTTTAGGGATTTTCGGAGTCCGACCGGCACAGCGTTTTGCTCCTCAGCTACAGCTTTCAGAGGCAGCTTCTCAATCAGAAATACTGAAAGACTGAGTCGACGGTGTTACCCTGGGCGCGTAACGCCCCCTTCAGAATCTCAAGTGGGGCTCCTTTTCTGTTCAGTGCAAGCTTTATTTAATTGTTCTATCCATGACTAAAAGTGGAGCTATGGAAGAAAAGTAATAATAACTCAGTGGCCAGAGAATGCAGAAGCAAAAGCATATTGGCTCTCAGATCAACTTCTCAATTTGCCTTGGGGAGAAGTTGTATATCCAGGAGGGTAGAAATGAAGGGGTGGTCCAGGCAAATATGAAGGAGGAATATTCATGATCTTTCTGGGAAAGGGGCTGTGATTCTCCCCCAGAATCAAAGGTTCCACCTCTTTTCTGTCTTTTTGTGGTCCCTTCTGGTTATCTTCATGGTCATTGTCAATTGTCCTGGTGCTTGGTGGGTGTACCATTCAGCATGGAGATTAGATTATAATGAGATTTGAGGACCATGGGCGTCCATCTAGATCTCAGCTGGTTTTAATTGGCCGATTCTCCGGAGGGAACTGTTAACTGCAGGCTGTCTGGTTTCTTGGAGATAAACAGAGTTAGGGTGGGGTAGGGGACAGCCAGGTCACGTAGGCCAGCTGTGGGTTACCTGTAGGAATGCTCACACTGTTTGAGATTTTGAGGTTTGAAACGTATTCATTCCTGGGCTCTTTCATTATTCAGTGCTCCCTATTCTTCTTCATGACGCAGGAACACACAGAAAAGGACAATAGTCGTGTGGGCCTGGGGTGACTGTGGGCCCTTGGGCAGCTCTGTAAGACCCTTGCCCTCAGTCTCACGCAGCCTCCCTGGAAACAAGGAGTCAGATCCCATGGCCTTCCAGATGGGAAGCTCACATAGGGAGGCTGTTGAACGAAGTTGGGTTCTAATGCCATGTTCGCTTCCTATGGCTGTTGTAACATATTTCCACAAACTTAGTGGCTTAAAGCACACACATTTATTCTCTTCCATTCTAAAGGTCAGAAATCCGAAATGAGCCTTAACAGAGCTACACTCAAGGTGTCTGTGGAGTTAGGCCCTTCTGGAGGCCAAGGGGAGCATCCGCTGCCTTGCCTTTTCCAGCTTCTGGAGGTCGTCCTCACTCCGCGGCTCATCACATGCCTTCCCCCGCTTCCTGCATCACGCGGCTCCTTCTTTGACTTCCTTGCCTACCCTTCTGGGGACATTTGGGGTCCACATGAATACTCCAGGGTAATCTCCTCATCTCCTGATCCTTAATAACATCTGCCAAGTCCTTTTTCCCGTGTAAGGTAACATTCACAGGTGGACTTTTGGGGAGGGAGGGTTATTATTCAGTCCACCACAAATGCCCTGCTTTTCCCATCAAGGTGATGCTTGAGTTATAGTTCAGTACTGTCTGTGATTTGATGTTGAGGGCCAGATTGACTTCAGCCTTCACAGTTCTGTCTTAAGGCAGAGGAGGTAGGAGAGGCATTCTTTCTTTGTCCTAGTTTTAGGGTGCTGCTGGTACAGGGGGGTAGCAAGCAGGAATAGTGGAATAGCGGTGAGAACATTTTACAGGTAGCCATGAAGTTCTTTCTCAGCTTACGAATTTTTGATAAACGAGTTAGATTGTGAGATGTACAGGCCCTCTCCCCACCCCCCACCCCAGCATCCCATCCCCTGCCCCACGATCTTTTATTTTCCTGCTCAAATTGCAAGCTGAAGAATTGCATTAGAGAAGAGCCACCTATGGGCAAATCTGTGTAACAAGGACGGTGACCTTTGGGGCCAGTGACTTTCTCTGTCGCTCAGTTCCCATCCCAGCCTAGATGTTCAGTGTCTTCACGCAATGCTGCAGGGTCACACTCTTGGCTCTCTGCAAATAGTGATGGAGATTTGTCACTAAGGTGTCGTCTGAGAACTGAAGCATAACCTTTGGGATATTTAAAATGCAATGGGCGAGATACTACCTCACACCAATTTTGATGGCTGCTATTAATAAAAACCAGCACGAACAGAAAAGAACAAGTGTTCGCAACCATGTGGGGAAATTGTAACACTTGTGCACTTTTGGTGGGAATATAAAAAAGCACAGTCACTGTGGAAAACATTCTTCAAAAAATTAAAAATACAACCTTATGATCTAGCAATTCTGCTTCTGGATATGTACCCAAAAGAGTTGAAAGCAGGGTCACAAATTGATATTTGTACACCCATGTTTATAACAGCATTCTTCACAATAGTCAAAAGTGGATGCCACCCAGTGTCCATCAACAGATGAATGGATAAACATAACGTGGTATATACATGCCAGGGAATGTTATTCAGCCTTTAAAAAGAAACATGCTACCACATGTTTTTCTGACACATGCTACAACATGGATGAACCTTGGACACATTATGTTAAGTGAAGTAAATCAGTCACCAAAAAACAAAACAAACCTATATAATTCATATGAGGTACCTAAAATAGCCAAGTCCATGGAGACATCTGGAGGAATGGCATTTGTTATTTAATGGGTACAGAGTTTCAGTTTTGCAAGATGAAAAGAGTTGTGGAAATTGGTTGCACAATAACCTAAGTACACTTACTACTACTGAATGCATATGCAAAAATGGCTAAGATAGTAAATTTCATGTCACAAGTAATTTACCGTGATGAAAACATATCAATGAAGAATGCTTCAAGACCCGTTGGCTCTCATGTTTTGAAGGGATGAATTCGAATGACGGGCTGACATGCAGTGAGTTTCATATTTTTGGCCAAATGATGCTTCGTCCATGACACACAGGAAGGCTGACCTCTGGCCTTGACAGGCAAGGGAATGAGGGTGTGCTGGCGGTGTTAGCAACAGAGGGGAAGAAGCGACTACCCTGCAGCCCTGCGGGATGCCCAGCAAACACGCTGTCCCCATAGGTGAGGCACTAACTAAAGAGGAAATGTGGCTGTGTTCTGTGAGTTACGGTAACATTAACAGATGATGAATAGGCATTTTTAAAAGACTAGAAAATAAGAGTCATGATCATGAGTCATTAGCTTATACGCATCTCTGATGTACAAAGTAGAATCACATACCAATGATCTCTTTTTAATGTAGCATCACTTATAAAATGCTTAATTTGTTTATAGTTGATGGAGATATTTAATTGTAGGAAGGCATTTTCATGGCCCTTTGGATATTATTAAGCAGGAGGTGGCCAATTGATGTTCTCTCTCATTGATGTTTCTGTCTCTCTCTGACTCTCCCTTCCTCTCTCTCTAAAAATCAATAAAGAAAAAAAATTGTGGTAAAATACACGTGACATAAATTTTACCATTTTAAAATGTAGAATTCACTGGTCTGAAGTATGTTCACAGTATTGTGCAGCCATCACCACTATCTCGTTCCAGAACTGTTTCATCTCCCAGAGGCCCCTACCCACGAAGCAGCCACTCTCTGTTCCTCCCCTCCTCCAGCCCAGCAGGCGCCAGGCCGCCTTCTGTCCACAGGCACTGGCCTCTCCTGGACAATGTAGAGCAGTGGAATCATACAATATGTGGTTTTTAGTGTCTTGATTCTTTTACTGCATAAAGTTTATAAGGTTTACCCATGTTCATACACGTAACATGAATCAGTACTTCGTCCCTTTTTATTTTATTATTTTTTTAACCCTCACCTGAGGATATGCATTTATTGATTTGAGGAGAGAGAGACAGAGGAAGAGCGACATTGATGTGAGAGAGAAACATCAGTTGCCTCCCATACATGCCCCGACCGGGGATCAAACCCACAACTTAGGTATGTGCTCAGATAGGTAATCGAACCCTCAACTTCTTTTGGTGTACAGGACGACGCTCCAACCAACTGAGCCACCTGACCAGGGCCTTCATCCCCCTTTATAAGTGAATTTTTATAGTGACTTTTTAAAGTTGCCACAGCTCAGCATCCTTTCTGGGTTCCACTGATTTCCAGGGTTTACGCACCTTTGTTCTGCATGGAAGGGAAGAGGCGACTTCCCACCCAGGCTCCCTGCTCACAGGCCCCTTTCCCACTAAGAGGACTCAGGCACCAGGAGGACGCTTCTCCACTGCCCAGAGCACTGAGCCCCAGCCTGGGGAGGGGATGCAGGGTACAGCTCCCTCCTGGAAAACTTCGGACGTTCCTCCCCCAGATGTCACTCATCATCCTCATAGTCAGCTAACTGCTGCTCGGTTTTCTGCTTTGAACGTTTTGCACGGTCTCTTTGAATACAGCGCCTAGTGTCTGAACATCCTCAGCCCAGATGAGAGCATGAAAGGTCCCCTTTTAACACAGTCCACTCACTGAGGGTTGGAAGGAGGAGGGCGGGAGGGGCCGAAGCCATAGAAGGAGGGCGCTGATTGGCAGAGAGCTCTGAAGGCGGAGGAGTGGGAGGGGTCAAGAACCGAGGAGCAGTTTGGTCCTGAAGATCAGAGAGAACGCATACTGTATGACCCACATTTTCCTCATGATTTAGGAGAGAAAAATCACTGCTCACCGTGAGAGTTAGGCCTTGGCGCGGGGTCTAGGGAAAAGTGACAAAGGTCTGGAATAATTGCTGGGAGGAATGGGAATGGGTGAGCTGGCCAAGAGCAGGAAAACTAATTGAGGGCTGTGGTGAGGGCCCAGGGCTAGAAATTCTATACATTTCCCACCAGCATTTCTTACTATGAGTTCAGCTGTGCTTTGATACAAAGTTAAATGTCATTATTCCTAACATTATGTATGTAGGTTAGTAACAATAATAAATAACTAATCGTGACTAAATAAATAATAACTCAAGAATACACTCTGTGTTTGGCATACTCACACCTATCACGCTACTTTTGCCCACTGCCGTATGTGA